CAATGGAATTTATCCGTCGATACAGGAGCCATTACAAAATTCACTTTTTGTTTTCACAACTTAGGCTACTTTATTTCCACCATATTTTTTATATTTTTTGAGGAATCTCAGTTTTTTTTAATAACCAAAATGTTCTTAAGAGTACATAAAATGCTCTATGTATTTTCTACTCTTTGGATTCCTTGATCCGTCTTTTTATCTAAAAAAGCAATAGCAATAGTTTTGAGATGACAGAGAAGAACTCAATAAATTTGGATCCGATTCTGTAAAAGGCAAAAGATTTTCGCAAGATACCAAAAGTTTCCATTAGTAAATGCGTTTTGAATAAGTAACCTTTATTTATCAGAATTGAAAATAAGTTCACATGTTTTGATAATGAGATCATAATTGCAATTAAAATCTGGGTCTCCATATGGGGACAGAGGTGAAATTAAAAAAAGGAAAAAAGAATTATACTTGTATATATATGGGACAAGGGTGAAATTCGAAAAAAAGAAAAAAAGTGACCCATTTATGTATTGATTTTCAACATTTGGAGCATCTTCAATCGTGGTGTGAATTGATATATCTAAAACTACTTTTACATATTACACTTCGATGGATCTAAATTAAAATTTTGCTCTAAAAGAAAGATCTAAATCCAATTTTCACATTTTGCGGAAGTTAGAAAAAAAAAATGTAAGTTTACATTTTTATTTTTATTTTTACATTTTATGCCCAAAAATGAGATATGCATTTTATTTGCATCTCTTCATTGGAGGGATTTTTGTCCAATTTGAAAATCCAAATATAATTTATATCATGGTTGGCGATGCTCTTACAAAGACTACAATAAATCTAATTTTTTTGTCTCGAGTACTGATGTATCTTCAAATACGAAGTAAGCTTGACATTCAAAGTAATGAATTGAATTCTCATTAATGAATTTCGATCCCTTTTGAATATTTTATTTTACATATTATATCACTTAAAGGATTTCTATACGAATACTTTGGTCACAAGATTTCAATTGATTAAAGATTATATGAATCTCAATTATTGACTAATATTAAATCAATTATATGAAAATGATTAGGAATATTCAATTAAAAGATAATGTTTTCCTCCTAACGCATGAATAATGAATCTCAATTATTGTCTAATATTAAATCAATTATATGAAAATGACTAGAAATATTCAATTAAAAGATAATACCTTCCGCTAGATGAGAATGCACAGCTCATGCCAAGCATGACATTTTGTTATTTAATTATTAAAATGTAAGAATATTCAATGTATATTCGAATATTTATTAAAAATATATTAGAAGAGAAGACAAGATGAGATTCAAGAACATGACATAACAATGTCAGTTTGAATCAGTATTCATATTGATATTTCAAGTTTCTCTATCTAGACTTCATTTTCGTTCTTTTTTGGAATAGGAAAACCAGATCGCTTGATTGCCTCTCTTTGCATAAGGAATCATTTATTGACTCTGCCTGCCCACCAACACAACTCGTTTGAAAGATTCTTGGTGCGATATTTCTCCGATCATACAAAGAATTGAAGAATTTTCAGGTAAGATCATTATTGCACGTCTATGTATCTTCTTCTCTCACATTGAATCGATGATGGAAAAGGAAAAATCGGAGAGATTCATGTACATACTTACCTAAAAATATAGAGCGGGCTATTTATGGCAATAAATTAATAGTCAATTAATAGAGCGGACACCTGAAAAAACCTTTATCTTAGTTGAGGTCGCCTTGTTACTGTTAGTTAATTATTTTAACCATAAAGATGAATTAATGTTAAAATAAGAAACGGTTTTGAGCTTGTTTGAGTTTTTTTTTTTTTTTTGCTCATAATGCATTTTGGAATTCTGACGCCTGTGTCAGATATTTTTAGCAGAAACGGCCTAATGTAAACCAGCATATCGAGTGTCGATAGTGTTGTTGCTTTGCTCTTGTTCAATCTAATTCGGCGATGTCTGTTTTCGCACTGCTGGAGCGATTGGCTCCTCTGATCAAGAGGGAGGTAAATCTGGTCCTCGAATCCAAAAAGGAAGTGGAAAATCTTAGTGGGAAGTTGAAGAAGATCCAGGACGTGCTGCAGGATGCAGAGAGAAGTGGAGTGACTGATTCAAGGGTCAAAAATTGGCTAAAAGATCTCCAAGATGTATCCTACGAAATGGATGACGCTTTGGATGAATGGGAAACCGCGAATCTTCAACTGCAAATTGAAGGATCTGAGGAACTTTCTGATCCTTGGGAGAAGATAATTTCGTTTATTCAATCTATTTGTTTATGCTTCGAACATGTTGTTGGGCGTCGTGAAATTAATCTGAAGATAAAGGGGTTCATCGAGAAACTAGATTCGATTGATCAAAAGAAAGATGAGTTTGGTTTTCTTCCAAGTGGTGGCCATGATTTGCAGGAATTTAATCGAAATGAATCGACTTCTTTTGTTGATTCTGCAAGTGTACATGGTCGAAGTATTGATAAGGAAAACCTTATGCAAAATTTGTTGTCAGAGGGGGACAGT